CGGAGTATAAAGGACCCAAATGGGGGAAATTAGCCTATATTTACAGAAGATATGTAATAAAGTAACCGATGACGACTTGCGTGCCGCTTGCGCTTTTCTCCCAAACTCGCTGGTAAAACCAAATGAAGGTTAAAATTTAAAAACCAATTAATAAAATTTTCGTAAAATCTATAAAGCCCCCTTTTATTAAAAACAAAAAAAAAAACTGTCCGACAGTTATTATTTTACACCCTGTATATGATAAAATATTAATAGCTGGAAAAAGGAAAACAAAAGAAATACAAAACTAATAAAGGAGTACATTTCCATATATTTATTTTTTGGGGAGTACATTACAATAAAAATTAATATGTGTACTCCCAAAAGCAGTACGTCTGGCAACCCTAGTCACCACTCTTGTGGCTACTCGTAGGCAATGAGCTTCTGGGAAAATTCGAAGGGAAAGCACCCAGACTAATTGCCTATGCAGACGACATAGCTATAGTTGTTACAGGGAAATTCCTACACTGAGGGAAAAAAATTAAAAAAAAAAACGTGCAAAATTTAAAAAAATACGCATATGAAAGAGCACCAACCCAACTCGTTTTAAATCTGAGAATGTACGTTATAAAATATGTCGTTGCGAAGTGCACAGAAGCTTTTTCGTTGTACGAAATTAAAATTAAGAAGAAAAAAATTTAATTTTATGTTCCGTCTGATGGTAATTGAACCCGGACCCGGACGCCTTGGTAGCAACCAATTGTATCAAGCGTCTTTGCACACTCAGCTACAACCTATAGCTACATGTAAATGTGTTTTCAAATGTTGAGTTTGAATCAACATCACAGCGCGCGATTAGTGCATGATGTCGTACCATGTATGTACATATGTATGTATGTATGTGTTGTCACCGCTTTGCATGCTTTGTATACATATGCTTTCATAATTACATATGCAAAAGAATCCGTGCAGTGAAAATGCTTAATTTCATACGGGCGTATTTGATTTGAATATTTCCATTATACGTAGTGTATGTATAATGAAAAAATCCATTTTGTTAAGAATTTTCGCTTGATTTAAAAACGAACATTTTTAAACGGTAATCAAATAAAAATTTTTTATTCTTATAACTCGTTTTTTTCTCAGTGTAGACACCATCAGTAACGTAATGGAGAGCGCTCTAAGGGTCGTATATCGATGGGCGACTTCGTCCAACTTAAAGGTAAATGCTGACAAAACGGATGCGGTACTGTTCACAAGAAGGTACAAAATCCGCGCGTGGAAATCCTCGAGGCTGAACGGAGTGCACCTATCAACCAAGGATCGCACCAAGTACCTGGGAGTAATTTTGGACAGCAAACTGATGTGGAAGCTAAATGTAGAGGAAAGGGTGAAAAAGCCCAGTGGTGCCCTTTATGCATGTAAAAATATGCTGGGTGCCACATGGGGCCTATCCCCTGGCCTCATGCATTGGTGCTACACAGCGGTAGTTAAGCCGATACTTCTCTACGGCGCTCTGGTATGGTGGACCGCTGCCAACAAAATCTCGTATATGCATTGTGCATAACATCGACACTAAAGACCACTCCAACGGCGGCATTTGAAAGGTTACTTGACCTACCACCAATCGACATCGTAGTGGAGAGCACTGCAGCGAAATCCGCCATGAGATTAATGGCGTCAGGTGAATTCTCCGCTAGAACCTTCGGGCACAGCTCGATATGCAGGGGGATAGAGGACAAAATAGACCACATACCCCCACGCTACATCTGGGAAGAAGGTTTCAAGCTACGTTTAAGGAGGGCGGATGGCGCAGGAGCATGCAACCCGCCAACGGGACGTATAACATCTACACGGATGTATCTAAAATGGCTGATTAGGTGGACGCCGGAGTATACTGCGCCGAGCTAGACCTTAGGCACCGCTTCAAGCTTCCAGAGTACTGCAGTATTTTCCAGGCGGAAGTCTTCGCTATAGGGAAAGCTGCTGAGATAGCTAGCAGCACAGGAAACTATATGAAAAATATCAATATAATGACTTATACATATGTCGATAGGCAGGCGGCGATTAGGGCTAAAATCTCACATCGTATTGCGTCAAAAATTGTCCTTAAAAGCAGGGAAGCAGTGGACAGGGCGACCGAGGGTAAACGACTGCATATATACTGGGTTCCAGGCCACAAGGGCATTATGGGCAACGAAATAGCTGATGAGATTGCCAAAAGTACCATCCGTCTTGCTAGCGAACCAGTACAGGAAATACAAATGTCGCTAAAAACGATCTATAATGAAGTTTCCGAAAGAGCTGGGTGCCGGAAAAAGGTGAGATGGAACGCATTAGAGACATGCAAAACCACCAAGATCATGTGCAATAGGAGCAAAAGAGAGACCCATTTCTTGCTTACATGGTTACGTAGGGATAGCAGGACAGTTGTTGGCCCAATGAGGGGCCTCAACCTACTGGCACCCCATGCAAGCAGAATGGGCATTAGTAGCAGTGACGCATGCAGGAAATGCAGGGAGGAAGGCATGAGTCAGGCGTTAGAACACCTCCTCTATTTATGTCCGGCCTTAGCTAGAACTCATCTTAGATATCTCGCAGCTTCGCAGTTCAAAGGACTAGAGGAGGCTTCAAAACTGGATATTAAGGCTCTTTTGAACATCGCAAAAAGGTTTGACGTCCTATACGACGACTACTTTAGATGGCATTAAAACGGACCTCCATCTGGCACTACAAAGAACCAACGGGTCTATGTAAGGCGCATCAGCCGACCAGTGTAACCTAACCTATTACCGTGCGACAGTCAATTTTACATACGAAAAAATAAATATTTTCATAAAACTGGGGGCCAAATATATTAAATCTGCGTTTTAAGTTTTTATCTCTGACGTTAGGATTTTTTTTAAAGGTCTTTGAATTTTCTAGAATATGATTGAATACAAAAAATATTCAAAAAGATTCGGTGCATTGTAGAATAACAATATGAGTATCAATTAAAAAGAAAAATTCTGTAGAGTACAAGAAAAATTTAATTTTTTGGTGCACCAGGACGAATAAGTATCGAAAATGTCCGTTTAAAACTTTATCGTTAAATATCCTTTGAAATTTCCAATATTTATTTTTGAACAAAATATATGTCAAGGACTAAAGTGTTAACTACCACATCCTCCAATTTTATCCTTCTAACTTTATTAGTTTTAGAAAAAAAAAAAATTACACTTCTCTTTATAAGATATTGATAGTTACAATATGTATACTAGGCTGGGTCGATTTTGTATGGGGGAAAATAAAAGTCATTTGACCGCATTGTAATAGTAATATTATGATGTCTTAGGTCTCAGCCAATTGTTATTGGCCACGAAAAATTAATTTAAAACTTATCTTAGCCGCGCAATTGAATCAAAGTGTACGAATTTTGAAAATGAAACTTTGGCTTGTAATATCTATGGAATGCGTTATTGCTATAAACATGACGATATATCAAATTAAGGGCTATTAAATTTAGAACCTCACGTTCATTTATCATTTTTCAATAAGTCTACACGTTTTTAAGATATTAAAATAAAAAGTAAGAAAACTATGATTTTCCCTTATGAATTTTCAATTCTTCGTTACTTCAGCAACCAAGTGAAAAATACAAAAAAGTGAGACGAGATTTATTTCAAACCTTTTAATGTTTATATAATATTAAAATGACCATGTACTTGGTCACGCCGATTTGGACAGTTTCCAAGATCGTGGTGAATGAATGTATTGTCAAAGATTAGGAATCGTTCGACAAGTTAATAGTAGTTTCAAACATATAAGTATTTACATACATTACAATTAGGGTGAGAAACGCCCATTTTAAGTCCATTTTTGCAGTCTTGAAAACTGGTGCGGAATGGTTTCATTAGTCGCCGCAGAAGCACATTTTTCGCGGTTTCTAAATTGCCGTTATATGAAATTAGGGGACATGCAATAAGTGTTTAGATATACATAAATATTTTAGTTAATTCCATTATGTGAAAAAGTGTCTGTAAGTAAATGCAATAGTCTTTAACATATCCTGGGAAATCCTTTTGCGGACTCTCCAATTGGACGATATTGCTTTGCATTCAGCTTGAACGAAAAAAGTCACTCGCTTGCACAGTTTTCTGTAATCCGGTTCTTTTATTTAAAGGTTATTTATACAATTGAAGAGAAATTTTTTTGAGAAAAAAACTGGAAATCCACTTAAGTTTTTCGATATAACTTTGGTAAATGTTACTCGATCGGTGCGTAATAATTAACAAATTGAAGGTGAGACTTAATGTTACTGATTTTTGATAATAATATGACTAAAATAGTTCAGATTATAAACAAATTATTTAAAACAAAAAAAATCTTGAACAAATTTTTTTATCATTTTCTTATATTTGCAATTTTTATATCGTATGCATAAACATAGGTAAACCAATTAGTGTGTCTAGAAGTTGTGCCTGTTCAGTGTTTCCATACAAATTTGCATAAACAAAATTTTTCCGCGATGATGGAAAATAATGGCTATTCTATTAGAGCTACCGAAATTGTTCCTAAATTTGCAAAAAATCGCAAACTATAGCTAATATTAAAAAAGGATTAGAATATTTCTAACTAGCGATCTAAATGCACGCCAGCAATATTAATATTGTTCTTTACATCTTTTGACTATAGGCCAGTGCAATTATCAAGAGAACAATTAAAATTTTCTTGAAAATAGATGAGTTTGAGATTAACGATAAGATAAAGGGCTGTGGTGAATTCGCCTCTTGTAGCAATAATCGATAACATAAGTAGTGAGATGTGTTATCTCTGATGTTCTAGTTCTTTCTTTCCTTTTTCTCGCTGGTCTTTTTGGTACACGGACACGTGTGTTGTACGAGCGAACCTTTTTCAATAAACTCTAAGTTAGTCATTGTAATATAGGAAACTACCCGGCGTTTTATTGCTAGGCACCACCCGACAATTGGTGACCCCGACGGCAAAAGCGAGTATATGTCACGGAGCGAGCAAAAACTCCAATGGTTAACCAAGAAGATAATGAAGCAAGCACGGGAGTTGGACCGTCGGCCGCTGCCACGAGCGAAAAAGCCATGATGGTGAACAAAGTGTCGGTTAAGGTGCCGCCATTCTGGCCAGAGCATCCGGAGATTTGGTTCGCCCAAGTCGAGGCGCAATTCAGCGTGGCCGGAGTTTCCACAGATTCGGCAAAGTTCAACACAGTCGTCGCTGCTGTTGAATCAAACGTTTTAGCCCAGATTTCTGACGCCATTTTGAACCCACCCGACAACGGCAAATACGACAACCTGAAACGACGTATAATAGATAGATATTGTGAAAGCGAGCAGAAAAAAACGCAAAAATTACTGTCGGATGTGGATTTGGGAGACAAACGGCCAACCCAATTGTTAAGCGAGTTAAGTGAACTTGCAAAAAACAAGGTTTCCACCGAATTTATGAAATCGCTGTGGCTGCAGCGATTGCCAGTACAGGTTAGGGCAATCTTACAGGCGTCTAACGCAGATTTGCCAGACTTAGCAAAGCTGGCCGACAAGATTCTAGAAGTAGGGGATTTTCAGCAGGTGTCGGTAGTGGCAAAAGGCAATGCAGCCGACGAAACTTTTTCAGGCATAAGCAAACGAATCGAACGCATTGAAGCGCAATTCGACAAATTAATTCAGAATACGAAGTACCGAACAAACCGACGATCTCGTTCAGTGTCAAGAGGACGAGACGCCCGGGCAAACACTCCAATGCGAACAAAGGGCGAATTATGCTGGTACCACCAGGTGCACGGGGATAACGCCCGTAAATGCCGACCGCCCTGCGAGCGCGGACCAAAAGCGACAAAAAACTAATTGCATCTTCTGGTTTGGCGGGCAAATCTGAAGACTACCAACGCATAGCCCGCATACTCATCAGGGACGAAAACACAAAAACACAATTTTTAATTGACACAGGTGCCGATGTGTCCGTGCTACCGGCCCGTACGGCGAATACGACAAAAGCGAGCGGGAAGGCCAAACTGTATGCTGCGAACGGCTCGGCTATTAAAACATTTGGCGAAAAACGACTACGGATCTCTCTTGGGTTAAGACGCGAGTTTGTGTGGACTTTCATTTTGGCGGAAGTTAATTCTGCCATTATAGGATCAGATTTTTTAAAGCACTTCGATCTCCTGGTCGACGCTAAGAGAGGCAAGTTACTAGATAGAAGTACACTACTGGAGACGAAAGGTCTTACGGCGCGCACCGAGGTTACGCAAATTCGGGTATACAACGTCAAGGATAAGTACGCGAATTTACTCCGTACCAGGATATTGCCACGGCAAACGCAAACAAGAGACCAGTGAATTCCAAGGTTACGCACCACATAACTACCACAGGTGCTCCGGTATTCGCGCGGCCGCGAAGACTAGCGGCGGATAAGCTAAACGAAGCGAAGAAATAATTCGAGTACCTACTGCAGAAGGGGATTTGCAGACCGTCGAAAAGTAATTGGTCCAGTCCATTGCACCTCGTGAAGAAACAAAGTGGTGAATGGAGACCTTGCGGCGACTATCGGGCGTTAAACGCTATTACGGTACCGGACAGGTATCCTATACCGTATTTGCACGACGTCACCAGCATTTTACACGGCAAGAAGGTGTTTTCAGCCATCGATCTCCAAAAAGCATACCACCAGATCCCTATTGAACCATGCGATATACCAAAAACGGCTATATCAACGCCTTTTGGACTTTTTGAGTTCGTGTTCATGACATTCGGTCTGAGAAATGCGGCTCAGACTTTTCAACGTCACATCCATGAAGTTTTAAAGGGGCTCGATTTTACTTTCGCGTATATCGACGACATTTTGGTCGCGTCGGAATCAGAGGTTGAGCACAAAAAGCATTTGCGAATAGTATTCGAACGACTTCGCCAAAGCAATTTGACTATCGCAATCAGTAAATGCCAATTCGGAAGGAGCGAGCTAAACTTTTTGGGACACACGATTAGCGCGCAGGGGATACGGCCCCCTGAGGAGAAGGTGGAAACTGTGCGGAACTTTAAAATACCAACGGTGGCCAGGGGGCTTAAAAAGTTTTTGGGCATGATAAATTTTTATCGACCGTTCATCCCGAATGCAGTTAAAAATCAAGCCGTCCTCCAGCAGCTGGTAAGTGGCAACCAAAAAAACGACAACACCCCCATTATATGGTCAGAGGAAAGTAAAGCGGCATTCGTCGCATGTAAGGAGGATTTGGCGAACGCAACGTTGCTGAATTACATGGCTCCAAATTCACAGCTGACCCTAACCGTCGACGCATCAGATGACGCCGTAGGCGCTGTATTACACCAAATAATAGACGGAGAAGTACAACCCTTGGGTTTTTATTCTAAAAAGCTAACGCCCGCCCAAAGGAAGTACAGCGCCTACGACAGAGAGCTGACTGCGGCATACCAAGGAGTGCAGCATTTTAAATACGCGTTGGAAGGAAGGGAATTTGTTCTGTTCACCGACCACAAGCCACTCGTTTTCGCATTCAGACAAAGCAGTGATAAGACACCTCCACGCAGAGCGCGACAACTCGACTACATAAGCCAATTCACTACCGATATTAGGCACCTGCCAGGGCGTGACAACAACATTGCTGACTTGCTGTCCCGCATCAACGCAATACACAACGAGGCGATAAACTTTGACGAAATGGCCTCTGCGCAAGCAAACGATTCACAACTCCAAGCCCTGCTGAGTTCAGGTAAGGATAACACAATTTCGTTAACGCAAGTACCACTTCCAGGCTCATTGGCGAAGCTCTTTTGTGACGTATCTCATGGGAAGGTACGACCGTACGTACCGATAGCCTTTAGAGAGAGGGTTATACATAAGCTGCATGGCTTATCCCATCCGGGCATCAAAGCAACGCAGAGACTGGTAGCTGAGAGGTTTGTCTGGCCTAGAATGGCTGCGGATGTCGCCAAGACCGTTCGTTTCTGCATCCCGTGCCAAAAAGCGAAAGTGCAACGACACACAAAAGCTCCTTTAGGGAGCTACCACGACATTGATGACCGCTTCCAACATATAAATGTTGATATTGTTGGACCGCTACCGACGTCCAACGGGTTCCGTTACTGCCTCACATGTATAGACAGGTTTTCAAGGTGGCCAGCGGCAGTTCCTCTCAAGGAGATGACAGCGGAAAACGTAGCCAGCGCACTCATCAGCGGCTGGATAGCAGTATATGGCGTTCCTCAAAGAATTTCCACCGACTTAGGCCGACAGTTTGAGTCCGAAGTATTTCGCAGTTTGACAAGGATGTTGGGTGTAGTACACTTGCGTACGACGCCATACCATCCACAGTCGAACGGAATGATCGAGCGTTGGCACCGCACGCTAAAGGCCGCGATCAGGTGTTGGCCGAACGACGATTGGAGCTCCGCTTTACCGCTTGTTTTGTTGGGAATGCGTACTACCGTAAAGACGGACATAAACGCCAGTCCAGCTGAAATGCTCTACGGGAGACCAATATGTATACCAGGCGAGTTTCTACACGAGAGAAAACGGCGATCCGGCCAAACAGAATTTATGGAACAGCTGCGAGAAGCAATGAGTAAATTACCCATGACGAAACCTTCACGCCACGGCGAAGCACAAACATATATACAACCAGCTTTAAAAGACTGTAAGTTCGTATTCGTTCGAATAGATCGAGTACGCCAACCCTTGGAGCCACACTATGAAGGTCCATACGCAGTTCTCTCGAAGCAGGAAAAATATTTCGTAATCAAAGTTCGACAAAGAGAAGTTAAAATTTCTATTGATCGCTTGAAGGCAGCATTTATTTTTAATCACGACGTCACGGCAACGGCAACAGCAACGGAAAGCTACGAAGATGAGAGAAGCACACAGAACACCGTAGACAGAAACGAAACAACGCCTACAGCAGGAACAGACAATAACAGAAACGAGAATAATAGAGAGGACGATGAAAGCGAGATGAAGGAGGAGGCTGTCAGGTATACATCGGCAGGACGACGGGTGAAAATCCCCCTTCGGTATCGTTAGTCGGTAACTAGCCGGGGGGTATTGTGGTGAATTCGCCTCTTGTAGCAATAATCGATAACATAAGTAGTGAGATGTGTTATCTCTGATGTTCTAGTTCTTTCTTTCCTTTTTCTCGCTGGTCTTTTTGGTACACGGACACGTGTGTTGTACGAGCGAACCTTTTTCAATAAACTCTAAGTTAGTCATTGTAATATAAGAAACTTCCCGGCGTATTATTGCTAGGCACCACCCGACAGGGCTGCGCGAAATGATACTTGACTTTATCTTTAGCGTTAAAGGATTCATTATCTAATAATATGCACCAAAATTTTTGGCTAAACCCAGCATTTTTAACAAGAATTGGTCTTATTCGATTAGTGTGCTGTGGGTCACTTGGCGGTCGATGCACGGGCTCTTACAATTAAAATGAAAGACTAATATTTCGCAGGCTTGTTGTTGACTTCATGATACAATATATTTTCACTATTACCAAGGGATTGAAGAAAAATTAGATTTTCGACCCGCCCTACTGTATACATAAATGAAGATACTGGAATCATTATTATGGAACCACTAGCAGACCCGGCGAACTTCGTCACGCCCAAAATTAATTTTTTTTTTGAAATATTTGGTCCAACGTTTTCGCCAGCAACTCAAGTTCATGTTTGGTTTCGTGGTCGACAGGAGGCATATCCCCATTGCCGTCTTAAATAACCTGACGAAAGCGTTATACCGGGAAGAAGTCCTTGCGGGTCGATAGTGAATCGTCCTTGAATCTGTATAGTATAGTTGGTGGCAATTTACTAACTGGTGAGTATCATTGATCCACATTCTGTTTAGTCACCATAAAGCAAGGACCGCAATGGTTCTGATGGTTGATTTAACGGGAGTAATTTAACTTTGATCCCTGGTGCTTCCGAATCGACGATTTTTAACAATAACTCGGTTCCAGCGCCACTAAAAATTATCATTAAAATCGTTTCGGTCGTTTAGGAGGAGTTAAGCCACCAGAATAAGTCTTTTACATACTGACACTTTTCGGCATTTTTTCCCATACAAAAAAATTCTCACGTATTCGTTATACGGAGAAAATGCGCAACATCGTCAGCGAAAAAATTCTTAAAAATCAATGGTATCTTATAGCCATTTAAAACTTGCACTTTATGATACTGAAATTGAGTGAACTACAAAACTGCATACTCAAAGTTTGGTACAAAAAAATTTATTACAAAAAAAAAAAACACTATTCTGGGTGTATATATTTACAGATAGGTAAAAGTTTCAATATGTTTGGCACCATACAAATTTCCAGGACATTACCACAAATACTTTCAGAGATATACGGTATGAAAAATTCGATATACATGAGTGATGCCACGCTCCCTTAATATATCCAAAGTGTGCAGTAGGTGTCCAAAATTTCAAAAAATCGGTACGGCCGTTCGCGAGATCACCTCTTATAAAAAGAAGGAGCTTCTCTTTATACAATTAGTTTAGGTAACACAGGGCAACACCGATTTTGATGCGGCAAATGTTGAAGCTGGTTTTAATTGGCTTTTTTTTCTGATTAAGAATACGTAAGTATAATGTTTGCATCAGCTCCAGATTTTGAGAAAAATGCGGTGAAAGTGTGAAAAAATCGCGTTTTTTTGCAATATTTGAGAGGCTCTAGCAATGAAACAAAAGAACCTTCAACTTAGGCTTAAATCAAGGCTTGGACTTCTGACTTCAATCCCTGAAAATACCATTCCTGCAGCTTGACCCTAAGGTTACCTATAGTCATTTATTTAACAGCTAACACTGATTTTTACATCATTTTTGACGATAAAAA